ACAGTAATCTTGTTTTCACCTCTTCCAAATCCTCCTGATGATTAATCTTGCACCTTCTCAAACCCCACCTGGCCAGTCATATTTCAGACATTCTCACAAGTCCCTTCCTTGCACATCTGATTTTATGTTCCACATTTCTACAATATCCACTCACCACAATTATCAGCAGATACATGTTCAATTAACTCCTCCCAGTGCAGGCACTTGCACTGTAAGGAATGCTGACATGGCCTGTGGCAACACCACAAAAAATGGGAATTAACAATCCTGGCCACCGACTTAGCCCAGGTGAACTCAGAAACATCTTGCCTTCCTGCCACAGCAAGGCTTACTCCAAAAGATGCATTTAAAATCATATTGCAGTGGACTGTAACCAACTATTTAAAACATTTTTTTGCAGCAGAAGCTCCTGCATTTCTTTACTAAATAGGACATGGAGAGAAGAGCATTTATTTTTATTATAAAAACTATTGTGGCAGTGCAGTAGTGGGTAACCTACCCCAAGGGTATGCTACTCTTTCCAGTGCACCACTGACTACAGCCTTCCTGCTATCCCAGGAATCCACAGAATCCTTACCTTCACATGAACTCTTCCAGCTTCATTTAAACTACACAGAAGTCTTCCCCTTCTCCCCATAAAATAGTACAGACAAAAGACCAACAAATTAAAATGAAAAATTCAAGTCTAAGATATTGAGTCATTTTATACCCAGTGCTCTCATTTTTTTATTATTGGCTTAATTAAGCCAAGGAACTAGAAAATAGAAACTTATATATCAACAATTCATCATATCTTCTTTGTTAGGCCAAACAAGCCAAATTCTTCCAATTCCCCTTTGTCAGACACACTTGCCATTCATCATCCTTAGTAGTTCTTTTCTACAGCTCTTCTGGGTTCATTTTGACATATTTAAATCAGATTTTTACCCTACAGCACTGACAGAGAACATCCTTATGTGATATTTTAGGAGTGCCCTTCTCACAGCAGCATTACCCCAAATGCTCATCCTTGTAGGACCAAATTGCTTTTGCCAGTGTTCCCCACCAAAAGTTAGTCCTGGTTTGTAACAGAAATAATCAAATTGTTTGTTATCACCTCACAAGAGTATAACCTTGTACTGCTGCACTTGACTCTGTTTTTACAGGGTAATGTTACCTTCCTACATAAATGTCCTTCCTCTGCCATGGCAATCCCTCATGGGTTTTGGTATCAAAAAAGTCCTACTGGTGCTGCTTTTATTCATGAAAATTAACCAAGTCAGCCTCCCTTCTCCTCAGCAGTACCACCTTCTCTCCTTCCCCAAGAGCTTCTTAGCCTCTCATTTGCCAACTTGCCTCTTCACTAATTTCACGTCTCACTAACAAATGCAATCTACTGAATTCTTTTTGTCTGGGGAATCAGTTCTCTCTTAAAAGGAAATACCAATACTAAAATATTTAGCCTCCCTTAAGCCTCAACAACATTTTTACTCTTAATTACAATGCCCTGGGAACAAGTCAAGAAGTTCCTGTGAATCTGCATCCATCCACATTTCAGTATTTATTCCAAGCTACCCCAAGATCCAGTAATTAGGTGTTTGAAGCAGGCTATAATTCCACAAGGCACAGGAGCTGGTTAACAGAGGCTGGGTGAGAAAGCAGCATCTCCTCACCCGTCATACCCTGGGTTATGTAACCCACCAGCTGCACTGCACTCCCAGAGCATCAGCTCACAACCAAAATGCCTCTGCTGACCTCAGAGAACACTTTCAACTCCTGCTGTACCTCCCCTCACACCAGCACGTGAGATCTAACACACAACCCACACTAGAAGTTGTCAGTGCGTGTCAGCAAACGAAATGAAAACATCCCAGTGAGAGCAGACAGCAAGTGCACCGAACACTGCTCCCTTTTGTTCATCACCAACGAGCACGTGGGACCCACACTTGACTCTTGAATTAACCATTTCACACAACAAAGGTGTTTATTGTGTGGCTGCTGAGGCTGCACTCTCAGAACGCAGTTTTCCAGGAATAGGATTTGTCCTGGCACGCTTGGCACTATGATTTTTGGGAAGAGCAAGGATATCTTTCTGGAAGGGCCACACTGAGATGTGTGCCTGATGAACTGTGGCTCTCCTCCCCCACCAGCACATGCTGTGTTTTCTCAGCAGTACTATGGAAATGAGGGCTTGTTTCCAAAATGGCATCCATCTGTTTGGTTTTTTTTTTTTTTGACTCAGCTACATTTAAAAAAAAAAACAAACAAAAACTCCACCTAAGAGCTCTCGGCGCTGGGATGAAGGCAGATTGACAGCTGATAAGGGTAGGAAATGCTGCCTGTTTGCACAGCACCTCACAAGTGGTGCTGTAAAGTCTTACTGCAGAAAGATAAGGGATAAGCAAGTGAAACAACAGAAGCTGAGCCCCAAAGAACTTTTGACTGCCTGGGGTACGTTTATAAAAATGCTTAAAATTCGTTATTTTTAGAGGAATCCTCAACATGACTGGTCAGCCTGTGCACACACTCACCCCTGCAGGGGCCTTTCCCACAGGGAGATTTAAACAAGAGACAAGAAGAAACACTTTGTTATTCCCGTTTGGAATCATAGAATGGTTTGGTTTGGAACAGACCTCAAAGCCCATCTCATTCCACCCCAGCCATGGGCAGGGACACCTTCCACTGGCCCAGGTTGCTCCAAGCCCCGTCCAACCTGGCCTTGGACACTTCCAGGGATGGGGCAGCCACAGCTTCTCTGGGCAACCTGTGCCAGGGCCTCTCCACCCTCACAGGGAAGGATTTTTTCCTGATATTTAATCTAAACCTACTCTCTTTAAGTTTGAACCCACTCCCCTCGTCCTGTCACTCCACGCTCCTGTAAACAGTCGTGCCCCATCTTTCCTCTAAGTTCCCTCCAGGTACTGGAAGGCCCAATTAGGTCACCACGAACCCTCCTGTTTTCCAGGCTGAACAATCTCAGTTCTCTCAGATTCTCTCCAGAGAATCCCAATTCTCCTCAGGGTGGGGAATCACACCCCCCCCGAGTCTCACTGCGAACCAAACCCCGGCACAGCCACCGCCGAGCGCCCCCGTACCGCACCCGGCCGGCGCAGAGTATGGCCTGGCGCTCGGCGCTGAGGGAGCCCGCAGCCAGGCCGAGGGCGCCCCCGCGGGACGTAGCGGGCGGGGGCGCGGGCCGGGCGGCCTCCCGGCGGTACTGCAGCGGGTGCGCCTTGCTGAGGTGCATGTTGAGGGCCGGAACTGTTGGCAGCACTTCCGCACGGCACGGTGGGCACATGATGTGGTCGCACTTGGGACAGCTGGTGACCGAGGTCCGCACCAGTCGCGGCGGCGGCCGTCCCGCCGGGCGGCGGGGGGCGCCCCAAGCCCGCCACGGCCCCGCGCCGCCGCTGCCATGTTTGCTGTCACTCGCTCGCCCCCCGCCCTTCCGGGGCCGCGCCATCGGCGCGCCGATGGCGAATATCATGTAGGCACGTGTCGAGGCCCCGCCCCCCGCTCTCAGCGCCATCTAGCGGCGGCCGCTGGCAATGCGAGGGGGGCCCGAGGGAAAAACAGCCCGAGCTGCGGACCGGGAACACCGGGAGACACACGGAAAACAGGGAGACACACACACATGGAAAACAGGGAGACACGTGGAAAACAGGGAGACACACACATGGAAAACAGGGAGACACACACACATGGAAAACAGGGAGACACACACACATGGAAAACGGGGAGACACGTGGAAAAACGCGCGTGCCGACCCTCGGAACGGAGGGGCTGCGGGTATTGGGTTGCACCGGGAAGCGGAGGGGCAGGCACCGATCTCCTCTCTGGTGAATGTCCTGGAGTTGTGTCAGGGGAGGTTTAGGTGGCTATTAGAGAAACGTTCTTCCCCCAGAGGGTGGTCGGGCACTGAACAGGCTCCCCAGGCAGTGGGCACAGCACCAAGGCTGACAGAGTTCAAGGAGAGCTTGGACAATGCTCTGAGGCACATGGTGGGATTCTTGGGGCTGTCCTGTGCAGGGCCAGGAGTTGGACTTTGATCCTTGTGGCTCCCCCTCCTAGTCAGAGTATTCTGTGATTCACTGATGTTGGAACCAATGACACAACACTCTGGTTTTTCCCCTATAATTTGTCAAGTTAAAGGACAATGCCTGCACCATTTTTTGGGGAAGGGTTATGCCATACACAGGGCTCCCAGGCTGTGTGTCCATCCCCCAGCCCCTGGCCCCACAGCTGCATGTGGATTATCACAGAACAGAGGTCATCTAGTCCAACCCCAAACTTCCAACTTATTGGAAGAGACCAGCTGGAGCGAGGAAGACAAGTTTGGTCTCCACATTCCCCCCTTGCTTTACCTTCTCCATGGGGACACTTGCTCAGCAAGAAGGAACCCAGGAGTTGCAGATGTGTTTTCTGACAAATTAATAAATACACACCTGCTTGCCTGGAAGTGCTGCATAGTTCCTGCAATAGCCCTGCTTACAGGAAGTTAGAGATGAAACATATCCCTGAAAATCAGAGATACCAATGTTTTGGTTGTTAAAAAGGGGATGGAGCCTGCCTTTCCCAGAAACAAGAGGCAAGCACAGGCAGTAGGCCAGGCACTCACAGTGTTTTAGAGCATTTGGGACCTTTACCTTTATGGTAAATCATTGTCATCTCAGGCATTTAAGTTATTTGGGAGAGAGCATTAGGAAGAACAAGTAGCAGAGAGTGAAATGCACACTGGAATCTTAATGGACTTGAATCCTGGAAGGCTCTGTGAGGGTGAGTGAGACATGTAAGAGCCAACTCAATGTCCATCACAAAACCTGGAATTCTTTCAGAATCCTAACGTGAAGGATTTTGTCAAACTAAGATTTAAATCAGGTGGAATTCCTAAAAACCATATCACTAGAGATAGTCCTAAACTAACCTCTTTTAAAGTGTGAGTTATAGAGAAAAAACCAAACCAAACATCAGTATATGATAAGTCGTATTTCTAAGTCAGGCCAAACAAACTTTTATGAGAAGACTTAATTTACACGTTTATTTACAGTTTGAAAACAAAAACATGCCCATACAACCTCTCAAAATAAGGCTGCCTCTGAGCACTGAGGTACCCAAAGTGAATTGGAAATTCCACATTACACAAAGTACACACAAAACTGCCCAGGTAACAGCATTAAAGAGAAAACACTTGTACTCAGAACTGAATCTTGGGATCAAATCCATCTCAAAAAACCAATGCAGCAACTATCTATACATTCCCAATGTTTCCCAGCTCCAGAGAACTCCAATGCAAAGCTGTTTGCATTAGTGACTGTTGCCATCTTGATCCTGCAATCTTTGTCCCCAAGCACAGAAAAGTGGCAACGTGCAAGGGTTTCAGAAGGATCAAATATTGATTTGAACAGTCTAAAGAAAATATTGCCTGTTTCGTTGTACTCCTCCAAGATAAAGTTTCATAAGACATCAATACCAAAGACAGATTTTTCCTTCTTAAGTATTTGTTATTTGCTGTTGCCCTTGGTGAGGTCTTTGAAACTGAGTTAATATCCCCTGAAGCTGGATGGAAGCTTCTTACTGGAATCTATATTCCAAGAGTCCCTTCTTCCCCTTCAAAGAAGCCATAAGTTGGAAAAAAATTTAAGGTATTACCAAAGACTAAGTTGTTTTCTTAAAGTCTGTTTTAAAGTTTATGATGATTTAGATTAATAGCAGTAAAAAACAAATTACATTTTTCTCTATGAACCAGTTTAAAATTAAGGGCTTACAAAACTGTCTGGAAATAACCCTTTTTTCTCTCTTATTCTAAAATAATTCCTAGCTTTCTGTGTTATACATGTAAGGAGTGGTGAAAGTGGTGCATCAGCCATACCTGGAGAGAGAGACACAAATAATTACAGCTGTACTCAACCATTATTTACCTTTCACAAGTGTTATAAAACTAAACCACAAAACTAAAACCACAGTTTGAGTATCCATATACAAACTAGTAATTTTAAGATATAGTTAGAGATAAGTTTTTAAAGTGGTAACGTTTTTATTCTCCTACATTCCTATCTGTTTCTAAACAAATTATGAGGTTTCTCCCTTATGCAAGACATTTAAATTTAAAAAAATTTTAAACAGCATTTTCCTTTCATTTTATAGAGTTGGAACCCTTACCTGCTGGTGCCAAGGATTTCAGTGATTCTAAAAGATGTGGACTGGAAAACTTGACCAGACATCTGAAGGGTTCTTTTTTATCCAAAACATCCATTTCAGGACTACTTTTAAACATTGTCTCAAGCTGTTAAACACAAAATTTAACCAGGGACTATAAGCAATGAGTACATTTCCTTCAGATGTTATTATTTAAACGTTTAAATGTGATGTGCAATAAGGCTGTTTCTCATTTGTAAGGAACGTGATTGCAGCTGGAGCAATGTTGTAATAAAATCAGAGGGTGCCACCACGTGGCAGTTTTCTGCTGAGAGGAAGAGGCAGCTTGTTCAGTAATATTGTAAAACATTAAGTAGCTCTTAAAATTGTCAATATGTCTGATCATCAGCTAAAACCTGTGCATCACTCAAGTTAATTATGGTGTTATATAGAGAATTAGCTTTGCATGTGCTTCAAATAACCCTCACTGCTCCTGCTCCAACACACTGCTGGTCCAAGTCTACCTTTATAACAAAAACAAGTCAAAATGCTGAGTTCATGAGGCTGAAACGTGACCTAAGACTGACCAAATCTCAATGCAAATCTCTGTTTCTTAGAGAGCCTTTTAACTAATTTATGTTAAAATGTCCTCCTTAAAGTTTGAAAAAGCATAGTATTTCTTCAATTTGGAATTTAGCTTAACTAACACTACATGAAAATTATAAAGAAAAAACCAAAGTGGTTGCTTTTATTACCTTATATTGTGCAAATTGGAGTATTGGTTGGGGACCATTACCAAAAACTTCCTGGTTCACTCTCTGGATTCTTTCTTTCTCACTTTTGTTTTCATGAATTATCCTTAAATCCACTGCAGGGCAAAAGAGTAGGGAAGAGAAAACAGAAAGACAACTTTGGCAGCTGCTGCAATACTGTTCTTCTGATCAGATTATTCCAGTGAAAATTGGAAAATAATAATTTTAACAAATTCGTCACCATCTTTTTGTCATAAGGTAGTTGTTTCTATCACTTAACATTTTCAGTGCTTACCAAGAGAAAAACACAAGCTAATGTGAGATACTGGGCATTGAACAAGGAATGGATAATGTAGTGGGAATGTAACATATGTAAACTTCCTATTATGAATCTCATTTCCCAAGCCAGCAGTAATGACATTTCAAATATACATACCACTTTCTGGTTCTACAGTCTTTCCTTGTAGAGGTTTTGGACAATAAGTTGGGAAGTTCTAAATGGAGAGAGAAAAAAAAAATTTAGTTCACTTCCACTTTTAGAAGCTGTAGCTGAAAAGAGCTTTAGAGATTTCTTTTTACTTCTCATTCTCAAAGTGAGTATTCTTCCAATTTTTGACCAGTACTAGAAGTCAGAAAGCCAACCTAATTTTGAGGAAAAAAAATGCCTGTCCTATGATATTTGTTAACACTTCCCTATTTAAAAGTTTTACATGGACAAGCAGACTAAGTACCCATTTTAACAGCCTTCAACTTATGGCTCTCAGAAGCCTTGGGAATGGTGCTAAAAAATCCTAGAACTGAATTGCTCATGTAATTTTTAGCCTGAGTTTAGCCATCAGGAATAAAAAATAATAAAGAGCAGGTGGATACCAAGTGATCACATCCCCATTGTAATGTTACCTTCAAGAAAGGCTGTCCACCTCAGTAGTTCAATATTATTTTAACTTGATGGTCTCTTGGAAAAGGTGAATTTTCCCCCTTTCTAAGGGGTGAGAACTAGGCCTGAAACAAAAAGCAAGACTTATCTTAGGGTTTACTTGTGAAGTGGCTCACCTGGCTATATCTCTTAAACACAATATCTTTAAGGGAGTTTAAAGAGTGACTTCGAAGCTCCATTTCACGGATCTCATGGTAATTGGAAGCAACAATCAGGGCCTTTAAATAAAAATTGAAATTGTTTTAACATCATTCTTAATCACCACTGTGCTTATAACATGTCAAAAATATAGCATTTCTAGACATTGTGATGTTTTTGTTTCAAGCAACTGCCCTTTAACCAGCAGGATTCTCATATCTGCAAAAATGTTGCATAGACTGTTATTAAGCTCAGGTTAATATTTAAAAGCATTCACAGGATTAACAAGATAAACCCCATAGCCTTATCAGATGAAAAATAAACAAAGAGAATAATAAAATATTTAAATTACTACTGCAGAAGTTTGCTAAATAGAGAAAAAAAAAAAGACTACCAACACTGATCACAAGTTAACAGAAAAGGTGTTTTAAAACTAATGAAGAGCATTCCCTGATAAGCTCAGGTGTTTAGTTCTTCAACTTAACCCTGTTGATGTAATATTCTTCAACTTCTATGAGACAATTTAATCAAATACTGCCTTGCACTTTGCTAAGGAATTTAGGATCAGTAAAAAACTTAGTGAACTGAATTTATTCATGATGCACCGATCCAAAGATTTGGCTTTTGCCCCATTTTTATCATGAGGGAGCAAAAACAAAAAAGAAGTAATTTAGTAAATTCTGTTAAGTGAGGAATCTGTACCCATCCTCTTGAAAGCTAACACAATCCCAGCTGCCCATGGCTGTGGTGAAGTCAGGGGCTGAGCAGCTTTATTGTGTACCTGGCAGAGCAGAGGCAAGTTGCTCTTGAGCACCGAGGCCGAGATGAAGACGTAGGGAGTCTGGGAATGGTACACGACATAGCTGGGCTTGTACTGGTTGGGCTGTCTGTAGGGGGTTCCCCAGGCAACCCTAATCCAGATGGCATTATCCTCATATTCCCTGAAGGTGATGGTGACCTGAGAGAAAAAGAAAAGCTTTGCTTTACCAACACCATAAAGATTTTCTTCTCTCTGGACCCCAAATATCATTTAGTACACCTCTGCTTGAATAAGAAACAAAACCCACCAAGTGTGGTCAGGGCTGTATTTGAATCAAATCTCCACTGAAAAACAATAACCTCGCAAACTGGGATAAAAAGAAGCATCATCTTTTGAACTCTAATATTACTTTTCTTCCTGTCAATATATATTTTCTTGTGAAGGGTGAAAATAAAACCAGCTTATTACAAAAACCTTGATTTCTCCTTTGGGAAAATAACAACATACAAAGATGTCTGCTTAGATGGAGGGTTAGTGGCAATAATTCCAATATGTCCATTTTTGGAGAAACTAAACTGTTGATCAGTTTGTGATTTTAGACCCCAGTATAATATTTATCACTGCTCAAGAATACACAATCAAAAGTCTGAAGATTCCCTTTCCTATTCTCGTGGATATGCTCCTTGTTTACTTCTTTTTACCTTGACTCAATCTGGGTGACTTTGGAGTGGAAAAACTTCCTTTAAAAACAAACAAACCAAACAACAACTCACTTTTTGACTGAGGCACAACTAGGGAAACAGTTGATGATGTTGAAATTGCTGGGCCAACAATACCTCTCGAGGGTTTTGAGAAACTTTCTTTTTGAAAAACAAAAATATTGCAAGCTTTTCTTATGAGAGAGTGATGTGAACTGCAGATGATTGGCCTGATTTGTGTTTGTTGTCAGTGGCCATGCACTGGGTGTCAGGGAGTGTCACAGGGAATTAGCCAGAGGCATTTTCTATTACCTTGCCTAAATAAAACCTGTGAACCAAAGGAAGAAAAGGCTTCTGCAAATTGCTTAGTAAAAAAGTGAAATGAGAGTATTCCCTTCCAATTTTGTCCTTAGCATGCTCATTTCTGCAGTCTAGAAACTGCTTCTTGCTGTTAACAGTGTTTTTTCAGTCATTTTGTACAGAAATTCCAGAGCCAAGTTCTCACAGCCATCACAAAATGCCATTTCAAAACCACAACTAAAAGGAAATGAACACAATGTTGTTACTAATCTAAATTATAACTGAACTCTTTTGTCCTGCTTAATGGCTACTTCAAACTCCCTCTATGCTGTTTGATAAGATTTTTATTGTGTGTTGTTACTGAGTAACAGGCAAAGAAATATCAACTTACTGAGGCAACCTGTGCACTCAAATACAGCAAAGATTTGATGAGAAGACACCACCATGCTGCTTTCCTTGAAGTCAGGCCCATTTTAAGACAAACTCACATTTTATTTCCCTCCAGCATAATTGTGAAGTTGCTAGAACAGATAGGCAATACATTTTTCCTATTTCACATGCAGTTCCTATCATTCCCAAATGAATAATTCCACTTAATTTTCGACACGAACTGTGAGGAAAGGTTATGAAAACAACCTAGTGACACCAGAGCTGTGTAACAAAACTTAGCATGGATTTATTCTTACATTTTTCAAGGCTGAACGAAGTCTCCTTTTAAATTTCTTTTTGAAATCTGTTAAGTCAAAATATTCCAATTCTTCTCCTGTTAAATGAGGAAAAAAGTCAACCCAGAAGTAAGAATTGTCTGTAAAAGAACTAGTTCAGAGATGTTTTTAGTTTTGCTGAAAGAAAATGAAGCAGAAAAAGCTGAAGTTGCATAAGCTTTTACAAAATGTGGGTTAAGTCTGACCTTCATTATTGCTATATAGAGAAAAGGTTAATATTTAATTAGTAGTCACTAATTTCTAATAATTGCTTGAGAAGTTAACAGAAAGTATTCTAAAAACATTAAAGATATCTCCATTGAAAAATCCATACTAGACTGCAGTAAAATGTTCAAAATATCTCTACAGAAGAAATCCATACGAGACTATATTTATATTTAAAATGTAGGATACGAGGCAGCACAGCACTAAGTTGCTGAGAACTGTGGGAAGGAAGGAAGGAAAGGAAGCAAGGAAAGAGATTTTACCTGTTTTTTTCATCTGGTAAACACTCCACATTCTTTTGTTTTGGTAGATGTGGTTGTCTAAGAAAGATAGGAATTGCTCAATAACATAATGTATTGTCAAAAAGTAATTGGAGGAACAAAGAATTTTACAATACTCTTACAGGCAGGTTACTTTAAAAAAGATTACTTCTGATAATGCAATATAATTTATTCAGCATTCTTAAATTACCATTCACAGCAAACATTAAAACAGTTTTTTATTAAAAGAGATGGGAAGTTCTTTTGTAACTCAGAGAGCAGCCAACAAAGGGCATCCCTGAGGGTCAATGTTTAAGGAAGGGTTTCACCCAAAGTGACCAAACTCAAATGTAAGATGTGTAGAATGTTAAAAGAAACCCTGAGATTTAAACTATTATATAAACAAGTTGTGAATTAATACTGGAGTGAAGAGTTCCAGCTGGAGTATCTGCTGATAGTTTTGCCTTTGTCATTTCCTGTAGGGGCATGGAATTACTGGCTTTGGGGTCTGGTGCACACTAGAGATAAACCTGTATCTCTGCATTTAGAACTGGGTGCTGGATGTGGGTTACAACAGTTTACATCTATTGAGACCTCAGAAGAAGCAAAAATGCTTTTGTTGATTTTGAGCTTTTTTTAAGCAAGGTCACCTCCAATAAGATTGATCTAAAATGTGATCTGCTTACACCAAGTGCATCTGTACTGCCCCCCAGTAGTCACTATGTAATTAGGGGCATTATCAAGTTACTAAAAAAAAAAAGCTATTTTAATTAATTTTTTACTTACAAATTATGTCTAGAACAGCTGCTTGCTTTATGTCTGCAGAATTTTCCTAGAAAGAACAACAGTGCACAGTGAACTGCAGGTCCAGAATGCTCAATCCCACTGCTTAGCATGTGAAAACTCTCAGTATTGGTAGTTTAAATCACATTGCACTGGAGCCCCCAGCTCGTACCCTCTCCTCAAAGACACCACACCTGGTCCCAGGGTGCACACAACAGAGTTTTGAGAAATCAATAATGAAAAAGGTTTCAGCAAGGTTAAAGTGTTCCTCTGTAGAAGCAGCAAGAACATAGTATGATGTACAAGCAATTAAAAAAATAATTAATGGGCATTTGTGACATAATGCAACACTGACTAGTATTTCACTGAATTTTAACATACTTGGCTTCTCCTTATTTAAGCTTTACAGCGTGAAAAGATTTTAAAGAAACTTTGTGACACAACTTGTTACAGATACAAATGTTTCAGAAACAAATGCTATTTTAAAATATGACATGTGCTATCTCAGGAGAATAACTTAATGGCTTCTTTCCTTTAGTTTGATCTACACTCCAGGTAATTAACCTTTGAGGATGAAATTCAAAGGGAAGGACACAAAAAGCTATAGAATTCAAGAGATATCAGTAATAACTGTATCTGAGTTATGATATTATATATAAAGACTCCTGGTATATATAAAGATTCTTGGTGCACCAAAATCAGAGTTAGATCAGATAATTTTTTTTTTGCTTATTGTACACTGAATGGAAGTAATTCTAGCCAAGGAAATTTTCCAAACAAATCTGAAAAGTCTAAAAGATATAAACTACTGCTGTCATTACCCATACAAAATAGATTTAAATCAGGCCTGTGCAACAAGCCTTTATTTTACAACTTAGAAACACACCCATTTTTTAAAGATGCAACATACTGAGCTTTTATCTAAATTGTGTAATTTAGAGCTCAAAACATGTATTTTCATACTTAGAATGGGGCAGTTCTACACTCCTATAAACCAGACAAAACTGATGACATTACCAGTTCAGGTGTGCATTTTACAGACTACAAACTGCCATTTGATGCTGTTTTAGGGCCAAAGATTAATTTTTTTTGATGGTGCTTCAATATGCATCCTGTCTGTCACTGACAGTCCCCAAAGGAGAGGATTTACCTCACAGAGTTGAACAACTTCTTGAGAAATGTTGTCCTTTATCTGATGGAAGTTGACAGTCTGCAGCTGTGCCTCAGAGAGAAAGTCCCATTTCTGCAGCATCATCTTGATTTCATCCCGCGGGATTTTTAGCACAGTCCTGCGGATATACTCAGCCACAGTTTCATCCATGATGGAGCCACCTGGAAAAGCTGAAAGGTCAAGGAAGTTAAGACCAAGGCACGGGCAGGCTCGGGGGATTCGCTCTCTTTGAAGGTGCTCAAAGCTGCACCTCGGCACGGCTGGCAACACGTTGGCGTCAGTCCTAAACGTGGCACTACCAGAGACTTAGACACCAACAACAGCGAGTTAAAACCCTTCTGCAATAACCTTCCTAGAATCACTGAAGGATAGAATATTCCGAGTTGGAAAGGACCCACAAAGCTCACCGAGTCCAACTGGTACCAAGTGCCCGAGAGCGTTGTCCAAGCTCCCCCTGAGCTCTGTCAGGGTTGGTGCTGTGCCCACTGCCCCGGGGAGCCTGTTCAGCGCCCGACCACCCTCTGGGGGAAGAACCTTTCCTTATATCCAACCATAACTTCTCCTGACACAGCTCCAGCCATTCCCTCGGGTCTGTCACTGGTCCCCACAGGGCAGAGATCAGTGCCCGCCCCTCCTCTGCCCCTCACGAGGAAGCTGCAAACCGCGATGAGTTCCCCCCTCTGAGCAAACCAAGTGCCCTCACTCTCCCCCTCAGAAGTTCCCCTCCGTGCCCGAGGCCTGGTGCGAGTCGAGGGACGGGGCGTTGGGTCTCACCCAAGGGCTGTTCCTGCCTGTCCGGTCCGATAAGTCCTCAGAGAGCGGGCACGGGCGCGCAAGAGGGTCCCGGGACGAGCGGGCAGCGGGAACCGAGCGGCCCAACGCGGCCGCCCCTCAGCGCTCCCGCCCTGCCGTCCCTGGCCCCGCCGCGCGCGCCCGCCTTTTCGAAACCGGGCCAATAGACCCGCGAGGCCCGGCCGTCCAATCACAGCGTCCCTCCCGCCCCGGCGCGCGCCGCGCCTTCCCGGCTGAGGCGGCTTTCCGGCCGGGGCCGCCCGAGACACCGTGTTCCGCCCCGCATGTGAGTGAGGGGCGGCCTCGGGGGCGGGGTCTCAGGGAACCCTGAGGGAGAAGAAGGTGTGTAGGGAAACCCTCCTTCCTCCCCCTGTCACGTTCTTCCCTCCCCACTGCCTGACCTTGGGGGTCCGGGTTCTGGGACCCTTCGCTCGCCGCGCGTCTTCCTGCAGGGCTCAGGGAGAGCTCTGGAAGGGCAGCTCTGAGGTCTCGCTGCTGTGGCTGCCGTCAGCTGCTGTCCGTGTGTCCGTGTGTGTCCCGCCGCTCTGTGAAGGCCTCCCGGGAGCAGTGAGGAGCTGCGGACAGCGCAGGTTCGGGGGGACCCCCCGCCTTACCCTGGTAACAGAGCGGGTGCCCCGGCCCCTCGCCCCCGCCCCTTGGCACGGCCGTGTCACTCGGACAGTGTGTGCTTTCTTTCTGCCTTTCGTCAGGGGGGTCTGGCTGCTCGAGGGGTCAGAGCCTGTGTTTTCCAGCAGGGAAGTGTGATCCTCTTGCTCCCTTTTCTTCCCTAGCTGTTTTACAGCAAGCTAGGAGATTCTGCTGGCAGCACTAGGGTTATCCTGTTCTTTGGGAAATTCGTGAAACAGAGATGAAATGAAGCCTGGTCTGGTGGATGCAGCCAAAGTACAAGACCAGCTGGCAAAACAGGAACTGGGTGACAGCACCTCGTCCTTATAGAATCATAGAATGGTTTGCAATGGAAGGGACCTTAGAGATCATCTCATTCCAACCCCCTGCCATGGACAGGAACACTTCCCACTGGATAATGCTTTACTTTTATGCTGGCTGGGTCTTGTCATTCTTGACTGCATATTGTTGTCTTCGTAGACATAGCAGGAATAGGAAGAGACAGCTTCAGTAATCTTTGATACAGTGTTATGTTGTGCAGTGGTACTGGCTGTATGTAGTAATAAAAATATTCCACTAATTGTCCTGTAACTGTGCTGATGTTTGTTGTATGAATACAACCTTAAATAATTGCCAGGAAATGAAAATGCCTTCTTGTGCTTTACTCAGTCCTTTGTATTAGAAATAAAACTGTAGAAATTAGTTGATATTCAAGTTGGTGTTCAACCTGCCTTATTCATTAGGATTGACACCTTATTGCTTTACTAGGTGTGACATCAGGTATAATGTAATTTTATCAGATACTTATTAGTAAAAGTAGCAGGTGAGCTCATTCTGCTGCTGTCAGGGATGTTGAAATGTTGGCAGAAAGTGGTATGAACCTCATTTATCAAAGTTTTTAAAAAATACTGGGTTTTAGGTTCAGGGAAAGTAAATGCAATCTACATAATTAAAAATATTTAAAGTAAATATAATTGGCCCCTTTTGTATTTCCTTGCTATTTGCAAGTCTTGATAGATACATTTCTAAATTACCAGAACGGGGGAAATAATGTTGGAAAACTAGTGACTAGTTTTAGAGACTGAAATTCAAGAGGTTATGACTAATTTGTGTAAGACTTGGCTAAAAGTGGTTTATTAAAGAGTTCCCTTGTGTTTTGAGATTGTGTGCATCAACTGTGATTTCTCATTTCTCTGAATGACTGATCCAAGTATTGGAAACTTGTCACCAAAAATACTTTGTGTATAAAAGGTAACAGTGGGAATGCAGAAGTTCTGCATAAGTGACATGAATGATACCGTTGGGTGTGGAGCTGAAGCCTTTTTTTTAATGCTAAAACTTTGTACAATCTCACAGAAAACGCTGATGGTTTGAGTAAACAGAGTTGTTTGGATTGTAAGTATTTCTTTCCAATGCCAAACAGAACAATACTATATAACTGAGAATATAAGACCCCGAATGTTTGGTCTTACTCAGGTTAGACAGTGACATGAAGTGCAAAAGTAAATGTTAAACGTGGAGAGCGGCTCTTCAGAGGAATTACGGGTTTGTTCACCCTTCCCTGCCGCGAGTCCATGTTCTGCTTTGCTCGGTTCTGCTGCCGCCTGGTGGGTGTTATTTGAGCGTTTGCAGCAAATGTTTGTGTTCTGTGGAAAGCAAAGTTCTGCGTTTCCGGTTAAGGAGCTCAATGATCAGCTGTGGAGGTGCTCGGATGCAGTTTTTCATCATCGGGGTTGGTAAACAAGGATTTGTGTTTTGCCTTAAGTCATTTTTCTGGGCAATATGTGAATTCATGATGGGTTTTTTTTAACACTGGCATTAGAAAGTTGAAAAAAATGACTGCTGTGTTCTTTTTAAATGAAATTACCAAAACTTGGTTTAAAAAGTAGTCTTAGAAGACATGTTTAAGTGAAATATGAAAAAAGCATCATATGGAAACAATTGCCTAGATTTAAACTTTTTTTTCATGGTGATCCCTCAAGCATGGAAATATTAAGCATTAGGCTAATCAGCAACACTAAAGCAACCTAATTTAGTTTTTCTTCTGCATCAGGGAACTGGTTAGTTCACATTTATGGGAGATTCCAAGAAAAGCAAGGAACTTCTGTGGATTCCTGACATGCTGACCTCATAATTCATTTTGGGAAGAAGCAAGAATGTACCAAATCCCTTCTTTCAACGTATGGCCGCTGCTCTTTGCCTTAAGGAGGAGAAACTGCCACATGGAGAAAAACAAGCACTTGATCCTAAATTTTGGTGTCTAACAGGAGTGTGAATGAAATGCCTCCAGAGTTCTTTGCCTGCTCCTTTGGGACAGCCTTTTGCTTGGCCTTTGGTGGTTTTAATTGAACATTGTAATATGTGTAGGTTCCTTTTGCACATTAACATTTAACATTTAATGTATTGAACATGTGTATAGATCAACTTTTGGATTAGGGATGAGTATCACTTCTTGATAATTTATGTGTTGATTCCTATTAGGAAATCTTAAGCAATTTGATATGCTCAGTGTCCAAGATTATTTATGCAAGGGATTATCTCATAATTTTTCAGAACAAAAATATTAGTATTGGCAGTTCAGTGTCATTGTCAGAGAATGGCTAAGTTAAGGCTTTTGATTTTTTTTTAGAAAGGATCTGGTTTATGTTGGAATATTATTAAAAAGAAGCTCAAGAAAGCAATAGCTTATCCTGTCCTTTCCTCACACACATTGTTGTTTCTCTTGAAACTCTTTGGTTTGTCAGAGTTGCTCCCCTCCAGCAAAAAGATTTGAGCCTTCTGTGATCACCTACAGATCACTGCCTGATGTGACATTCCTGAACATCAGTTTAGTATTGAGCACTGATGGCACTGCTCTGGCACAACTTTAGAAGTACTTAAAGGCTCCAGGGAAGGTTCCATGAGCACCATAAGATGTTTTGTTACTTTATTCCATCGTAGCCTCCATGAACTGAGTGCTGTGTCTGGTAATGGAACCCGAAAGATTCTGATATTGAATATTATTTGAAAATTTCCGGAATCCTGCTCTATGAACTGGGGTGACAGCTGGGACCTTTGATTTGTGGCATCTGCCCTACTTGAGGTGCCATTGGAAAATGCTTTTGAGCTGTTAGAAGGTTTTAATTGCTGAAGTGGACACCTCACCACGTTTGTGACACGGATGGCTTTCGCCCACGATCTGAGAAGAGTTTTGTAAACGATGGCAGTGATTGTTCACCTCAGTTTAGAAATAACGAGTCTTTCCTTGAAGTGCTCCGTTTGACTTCCTGGCCTGTGCTGATGTGCATATTCCCTGTTTCCCTGGGACACCGCTCCTGCTTTCTCCCTCCCGGACAGCCCCCTCGGGTGGCACTTTCAGGAAGCGCAGTCAGAGGCTGAGTGATGAAGAGGTTTAATAATCATCTGGGTTCACACGTGTTACAGTGAAGCACAGCCACTGAGCAGGTCACCCTCCCAAGGGAGCACTAACTCCAGTGCTATCAAAAACCTCCACTGATAAATTTAAAACATATTGACTTTGTGTGGCATGCAATCAAAACCTGGTGGCAATAACACAGCAGGGTTCTTAATCACTTTGCTGTTCCAGTCGTGCTCCTGCTGTCATATTTCCAAAGGTTCATTTGTTAATTTGTCATAGAATGCTTAAGCAACTTGTACAGTCTCCAACAACTTCTGTGCTAAGAGTAAGTGTGGTGTAATATTAGACTTCCAGATAGTATGGGGGAAGATTTTTGGAAGAAATCACTACATGTATTCACAACATTTTG